CAATAAACAAATAAATTAGCTTTATCTTCAATGTTTGTTTTTTTGTAGTTAAGCACAAAGCTACACAATGGGCTATCTGTGCTCTGCCTACCACGGGTATCGAAACCCGAATTCTAGCGTTATAATCCGCAGACATACCGCTGTGCCACTGGGGGGGTGGGTGTTTATCTTCGAAATAAATAATAAAGGATTGTCCTTGTTAGATGTGTTGGTAAGTGCTTTACCAGAAACAAAAATTGTAACTGATATTTTTTATTAACCCACAAACTCTCATCAATGTGTATATTTTTAATAATCATTTGAAGCATATAAAATTAAATGTTCCTGCAAATCTTATATATATATATTACATATTTGAATACTGCAAATAAGGTATTTCCTCACACAAATTACCAAAATAACAAAAAGTTAAAAGGAACATAAACGTCCAAAACCAGCCTTTAAAGAAACAAAAGACATTTAAAACTGTAACGGCCAAGTTATACACGTATATGTTTAAAACAAAAAGACTGACTTATTAAAAAATGCATGAATAACGTTGAAACCAGATCGTCAAAAAAAAACAAAAAACAAATGCAGACCATGATTTACGTGAACAGCTTCAAAAGCTAACATGATGAATAAAGAAACAAGTGAAGATCTGGTGTCTGGAGTTAAAGACTCTATATACATTGGGCTGAAGGTTGAGGTGTTAAAAGTGTACAAAAAATATTTTATTTTATGCTCAAGTTAAGTATATACCAATAATTTCAAAGCGAGGCTTCTATCCCAGAAAAAAAAATCTTTTCTTCGTTTTTTTTCTCTAGATAATGTTGTTATCGAGAAATGTTCTTTGAAAATGAAATTGTACGGTTATAACGATCTCTGCGACGTTATGTTTCACTACTGTATACATATAGATATTTGAGTTCATCACTCAAACTGAGATCAAACGTAACTGAAAGATACTGTTCTAGAGAAACTCAGGCAAAAAGTCAAAAAAAGGTTTACGACATCTTACCTGACCGAGCTTAATTTCTCTTTCTCTGTTGTGGGGCATCTTCCTCAGACTAGGTGGGACGTACCAGAAACTAACGTTCACACACTCTGGCTGCAATTATCACACATTTGTTTAGTATACGAACAGTAGTCGCAAAAACAAGTAAGTATCAGGTTATAATAATACAGACCCCTCTTTTGTGACACAAGTTGTTTAAAAGAAAGAAGCGTCTTTTTTTTTTAATTTTGTCTACAGAAATGTGTAGTAAAATATTTGTATTTTGAAATGCCGAAACGTTGAAAAGTAAATCAATTACTTTCTTACAGGTATCTGCCTTTTTTACTTTATTATGAATATTAAGTAAAACTATTAATTTGTGCGAAAAATATAACTTCTTTGTTTTGATTTTTTTCACGCTATACAACATGTAATTTTCCACTTCTGTGCCTTGTTACAACTGTTAGTTCTACATAAAAATAACTGCTAAGTTGTTAGGAAAATTAAAAAAAAGGACTTAAGTATAAATCAAACCCACCTCTTCCAACACCATGTAAAACCTGTTTCCCCTTTCATTTATCTTCCTCACCATATAACTAGAAAAAAAGAAGTATGTCAAATTTATATCAAAGTCATAGTTCCATGGATAGTTTACAAGCTACGGAACCTGTTAGTCTAACTTGTAATACGTACGAGATATAAATGGATATTTCGTGTGTTATATTGTATAGGTCGATAATAGTTTACGACCACCTCATATCATAGTTTTAGAACTCGGAATTATTCCGCCGAACGGAAAAATGCAACGGCCATGAACATTGAAATATCATTTTGTTGAACCATACATACAATAAAAATGAGTGATTAATGTCAATTTCATATGTAATGACATTTTATATTCTGAATAGATCGTTCCTATTAGTTAATATTGACCAAAAATGATATATCTTCACACGCATGTTAAAATAAACTTCATTTGTCTAATGTTATTTTTCACAGTATAAAACACAGTAAATAATAGGACTAGATAATACAGTGATTAGTGATCTCATTTAAAGTACGTTAAAAACGTTGTATATTATTAACCCTGTAATTACCGAGGGGAGAAAATCCATTGATTTTTGTAAACACATTTACTAAACTGTTTATGCACTAAATTGTTTAGGATTTAATTAATTTGTTGGTTACAGGATCTCTAAAAATATACGAGTAACACACAGGAAAAAGCAAATAAAAATACAATTATTATATATGTTTTGTCGCAGTTATGCTCACTATCTTATCATGTTCCGGATAAGATGATTAGGTTAATAACTTTGGACCGCAAATGTCTTCTATACTGTTACGGATGCATGCTACAAAAATGTTATTGCTGTTGTTCTTGTCGCTCAATCGCAAATATAAAAAAACTATATTGTTTAATGTGAGTTCTATTGAAACCACAGCCAAGGAAACGAGCTTGGAGAATTTTATACACCTAATTATAGAGTTTATTTGTGTGGCTTACAAAATAACGAAAATAATTAACAACACATTAAAACACATGTAGAAAACGGGTTTGGAAAAGTTCAACCACCTTAATTATGGAGTTTGTTTGTGTGTTTTACAAAATGACAAAAATAATTAACAACACATTAAAACACATGTAGAAAACGGGTTTGGAAAAGTTTAACCACCTTAATTATGGAGTTTATTTGTGTGTGTTCTACAAAATGACAAAAATAATTAACAACTCATTAAAACACATATAGAAAACGGATTTTGGAAAAGTTCAACCACCTTAATTATAGAGTTATTTTGTATGGCATATTACATGATATTAATAATCATATTCTCTACAAACATTTATTTTAACGAGTGGTCTGAACTATTCATTATCTCACGGAAATGGTTCTTACGTCTTTTAACATAGTAAAAATTATGTCTCACGTGTTCTATTTGTCATATATATTTTTTCTTATGATAATATTTGAGAAACTTGGTTATTATATTACAAATATAACCGACAACATCCCAAGCCAGTTGACATCTAGATTTATACTCTTCAACTTTTCAACTCTTTAATTAAATACATTTAAAATAGTTCCTTTCTTTCGGCGTCATAAACTTGCCATAAAAAAACATCATTAAACCAAACTGAACAAAGAAGGAAGTACCGTAGTGGAAGTTGGAACAATTTCCGCGTTTTATCATTAAAAAGTGGTCAGAAGTTAGAAGAACAAAGTGATTGGCTAAAGTTTGAGTGACTACAACATATTTAACTCTTAAAGGGTTTTTCAGAGATAAAAACAAAACCACACTGGCTGAAAGTTTGAGTGATTCTTCGTTTTAATTCTTAATATGTTTCTTTGGCGTTTATAATGAGAAACTGACTGACTGGAAACTTGAATCACTCATGTTTTGTTTTTTAATTCTTAGATAGTTTTTCCAATAGGTGGTTTCTTTATATTCAACATCACCATAACTTAAAACACAACTGACCTCTACAGTATTTTTTCTGTACTAATGACACATCAAATGTATTGGCAACTACAGCCCTCAACAATTCATGTATGGGTTTTAGGGTTTTACTGTCTTATGAAAAGTTATATTTAGGAACAACTTGATCAAGGCATTTTATCAACATCGAAATGATTTAATATAATTAAAATAAACTATTCTATTATCAGAATCGATCATAATATGTTCTATAAAATAAAATGTTGTAACGTGTACCGAGTTATTTAACACTCTGCAGCTTTTACACGTATAGGGTAAGCGTTGAGTCATGCATAAGTGACAGCGTTACATAATGAACAATGTAAATAAAACACTATTGTTGAAATGGCATTGAACACAGTATTAACACTGTGCTAACGCCCAGTTATGGTACTAATGATGGTCACCGATACCAGAACATTAACATATATTTTGACAATATTCTATCTTATCAACTTTATCAATGTATTATTTACAATCTTGTACAGACGAGAAACTTGACGTCTTACGGTTAACATGCATGATAGTTGCATGCCGGGAATGGTTTAGTGAATATTTTATCTGTATTAATTTATCATTGTGAGAACCATATACATATAATAATAAGAAAATATATTAAAATCTTTTTCTTCCTTTCTGTTCAATGACCTGATGATGTAGAAGGTCATATTACAGAAAACATGAAACTTTTTAAACTAAAAATAATTACATAGTTTAAATAAGTTTCCCTTGAAATGTTTGTCTATGAAAATACTTACTGTGTCATGTCGAATAAATGATCAATGTGTTTCTCATAGCCTTTCATGCCCTACAAAGAATATAACGTTACTCATAAAATAGCCTGGACATTGATAATAGTTTATACATGTTTGTATTCCAAGCAGCATAAAGTAAACTTAAGTTTCTGAACAGTTTATATACATTTCTTTATTTCAAACAAGTTAAGGTAGCCTAGAAACTGGTAACAGTTTATACATGTTTGTATTCCAAGCAGCATAACGTAATCTATAAGTTTCTGAACAGTTTATATACATTTCTTTATTTCAAACAAGTTAAGGTAGCCTAAAAACTGGTAATAGTTTATACATGTTTGTATTCCAAGCAGCATAAAGTAATCTATAAGTTTCTGTACAGTTTACAATTTATATACATTCTTTCATTTCAAACAAGGTAAGGTAGCCTAGAAACTGGTAACAGTTTATACATGTTTGTATTCCAAGCAGCATAAAGTAATCTATAAGTTTCTGTACAGTTTACAATTTATATACATTCTTTCATTTCAAACAAGGTAAGGTAGTACCTACTTGAAATACCAAAATGTTTAAACTGTTTTTAGTTGCTGTTTACGTAATCATAATAAGAGATTGTATAAGCTGTTTCCAGGAAAGTAGTCTAGAAGCTTTTGTGCACTTTGTACATTCCCTTATTCCAAACAATATAATGTCGTCTGGCGATTCTTAACGGTTTATTCATACATGTATTTGTATTTAAACAAAAATGATCACACAAAAGAACTGTATGTCATTGGTGTCTAATAATTAACTTATAATTTTATAAAGTTGTTTTAACTGTCAAATTCCTAACATGTTATACAGCGTACGAGTAATATCGAAGACGTGGATTTATACGACAACTTTTGACTGCGAGAAGGCAAGATTATAAAGATATAACAAAAAATAAGCCATTTAAACTTTCTTGTTTCATTTGTTGTTTCTAGGCATTGTTGATTTGAAAATATAATTTCAATACTAAAGAGCGTGGCTAGCCACATAACAAGTCAATGAAAAGCATAAATAGCCACTTTACAAGGAAATGCAACAAATTCTCAGTAAATAACCTGGCCTTTAAGTTAAGATGGAACTATTTTTATTTCAGAAAGAAAGAGTTATAAACACACATTGATCTCTAATTTCATGATATTCTTTATTCCTAACCTAGTGCTGCTTTAGAAAATAAAGGCGATAATGTAACGAGACGCAGTTACAGTGCTAAAAACATGATTTACAAGTATGTTTGAATTAGAAAAGTTATCATTGCGTATATCCAACAGAACATTGTCTTATAAAATCAACGTATTTAAATCCACTTCACCATAAGTAATCTTACAACTATGTTTGTCCAATCTGTCTCATGAAACTATAGAAGTGTTTTTGTAGTGTAAGTACACTTTGCAGATTCTCTCCAGCAGAAAACTAAGCTTTCTTAGTTCTGTTACAGTTGCTTATCTTTGTACCGTAATATAAGTTTCATTACCTTGGAGCGCCACATCAGCCACAGTTTGAAGATGTCGTTATGCCGGCCGCATTGTATAACTTTATCGCCGGTGTCATAAGTGACGTCATAATGCTTATCTTGTTGGAACAAATAGTCTGCACACAGCATATTACAGCTTATAAGAAGACCCTAATTAAGAAAACGATAATGTTGAATGTATAAATTTTGTAGTCATTCTATAGAGACGTTAACATAAGGAATGTCATACTCTTATTGTTTAATTAAATATTTTACTTTTATTCTGAAGTAGGTCTTGGAAGAATTACTTTATTATTGCTATTAAGAAAGCCTTGAATATTAATAACACGTCGTGTTATTTACTCGGGCTTTGACATTTCTTACTGAATTTTTATTGTATTTGTATATATAAGGATTATATAGTTGTAATTCTGTACTTTGTTACCAATAGAGAACTATGTGTATATACCAAAGGTTTAATAGTTGTAATTATGTACTTTGTTACCAATAGAGATATTTTTGTGTATGTACCAAAGGTTTAATAGTTATAATCCTTTACTTTGTTACCAATAGAGATATTTTTGTGTATGTACCAAAGGTTTAATAGTTGTAATTATGTACTTTGTTACCAATAGAGATATTTTTGTGTATGTACCAAAGGTTTAATAGTTATAATTATGTACTGAACTATTAAACCTTTGGTATATACACATAGTTCTCTATTGGTAACAAAACTATTAAACTTTCGGTATATACACATAGTTCTCTATTGGTAACAAAGTACATAATTATAACTATTAAACTTTTGGTACATACACATATCTCTATTGGTAACAGAGTACATAATTATTAATTATGTACTTTGTTACCAATAGAGAACTATGTGTATGTACCAAAGTTTAATAGTTATAATTTAAAAGTTAGTATTTTGTACACTCGCACAAAGAGAGTTTAGCGTCATTATTAAAAATATGTGTGAAAGTTTCTCACCAGATGTGTTTAAAATTATTACCTACAAAAATAAAATATATAACTATTTACTCCTTACGTCTTCTTTGAAGTGAACCGTTGAACATTGCAATAGAGAACCCATCAGCTTATGGGGGTTCCACGTCACAGATTGAGACCTACAATGGACGAGAAGCTTGTATTTCATCTACTTTCAGCTTCAAGCATCAAAAGAGGTAATAAAAGGATAAAACAGATATAACATTCTAAAAACAATGTATTACAATGGGCAGAAATTACACCGAAAACAAAATATTATATACAAGACTACTAGTTCATATACACAAGACTACTAGTTCATATACACAAGACTACTGGTTCATATACACAAGACTACTAATTCATATGTACAAGACTACTAGTTCATATACACAAGACTACTAGTTCATATACACAAGACTACTAGTTCATATGTATAAGACTACTAGTTCATATACACAAGACTACTAGTTCATATACACAAGACTACTAGTTCATGTAAAATGTATACGTTTCTCAGAAGGTAACTTGTTGTTTTTTTTGTTACCTGTAAAAAATTATAAGTTTTGTTGTGAAATAGGCAATTTTAGCATAAATGAAAGAGCTTGAAAAGGTTTATTTTAAAATTTTATAATTTTTAAGTACGTCTTTAAAAATATTTACTTTAAATTTTGTAAATATTATTTAAATATATAGGGAAAGTTTAAATCCCAGTATCAAAATTTTAGATATGTTGGTGGAAATCCCAGTAGCAAAATCTTATATTCTTTTAGATAGAAAAAAATGCTTCGAGATATTAAAGATTTTTGTAGTTTAACCCACTGACAGACAACAGGGATTATTTTTTATTGATTCATGTGTTAGCAGCCTTCCAACTTTTAAAAACCTGTAGCTTGAACATTCGTATAAGTAAAAATATTTACATGCTATAAAACATTTACATTTATAAGATTGATTTAGATACTCCTAAATACTGAAAACATTCAGATAACTATGATCCTTATCCTGGTTTATATACTCGACCAACATATCTAAGATTTTGATACTGGGATTTCCACCAACATATCTAAGATTTTGCTACTGGGATTTCCACCAACATATCTAAGATTTTGCTACTGGGATTTCGATCAACATATCTAAGATTTTGTTACTGGGATTTCCACCAATATATCTAAGATTTTGATACTGGGATTTCGACCAACATATCTAAGATTTTGATACTGGGATTTCGACCAATATATCTAAGATTTTGATACTGGGATTTCCACCAACATATCTAAGATTTTGCTACTGGGATTTCGACCAACATATCTTCAGTAGCTTAAGGTTAGTTTGACTTACCAACAGAATTTTTTTCTGTCCGAGTACAATTAAATGAAATGCATGGCACAAAAGAAATGTCACAGTTGTCGATGTCTCTGATCTACTGAGAGCTGACCGCACTTTATAAGAATAATGTTTCAAGTACACTGTGGCAAATCGTGTTTAGTCTAATGGCCGTGATGTCTAAAAGTCTGAGTAACATGCATAGTATGAAAAAAAAATGTCACAGATATCGAAGTCTCTGATCTACTGAGAGCTAACCGCACTTTACAAGACACATAGGCCCGCTATTGTACGTGGATGTCAGGTTCTAAGACCATTGTTAACAAACCAAAGATACAAACGTCCAGTGGTACTGCATTGGAGACTGGGATCTGTGAGTCCAGTTGCTTTGGTCATCTTTCTCCTGAAAACATTCGTTGATTTCGAAGTGTGGCTGGACACTTGTGAGCTTTCGTCATTTTCAACTCTTTGTTTATTACCTTTTTAATGATACTTGGAGTTATGCCCAGCTTCATCACATTGTGACAGCATACATTCAGAAGGCCTCTAGCAGCATCAGTCAAATAACTCTTTTCTACCACCTGTGACATAGCCGGCCTCCACTTAAAGGGTCAACGCTTGTCAGTGCAACCCCTGGGATTGTCGTATAATGCTCAACTCAACATCACAGTGGGTTTTCTGGGCCAAAGGGTTTTCTTTACTTTATAAACATGGGTCTTACTACTGATTAGCTTAGGGTGTGTTTTCGGAGCCTACTGCTGCTCTAAACAATCTTTTATGTGAGCTTTTCTTCTTCCATGGAGAGTATTAAACTCTTTTTTTTTTTTGAAAGGTAGTGCCCTATGATTTTTTACATGACTTTACAATCTCACTAAATAAATGTCCTCGGAAAAAACTGTGACATATTTAACGAGCCATTAAATAATCCATGGCAGTATTTGCAATGTTTAATGTCGGATATTTGCTGTGAACCAAATATGTATATATATATATATATAAATGCTAAATATGTCTTCCGTGATGACACGCCACTGTATGAACATGTGCAAATATTTCTTGTAAATTCTAATAATTCATGAATGAAAGCAAAGGAGAATATTTAATAACATGTCAACCACACTATATCTGCCATATCCACTGCCGACGAGGCCTTTCGTCAATACCAGAGCTCACCAGGCCAGCTGGGAACGACAGACATAGTAGTGGTCTAGGTGCCATTTATACCATCAAATGCATGAACAATACCTGCTATGTTGTGATTAAATAAGTAAAGTGTAGTTATTATCAATTTTATTTAAGTTATTTACAAACCATGAATAAATAAGTAAAGTGTAGTTATTATCAATTTTATTTAAGTTATTTACAAATCATGATAAATAAGTAAAGTGTAGTT